GTGGTTCTTAATGTATTCAAGATTATTTCAGCAAAGTTCCAGCTCGAATGAAAGAGTTTTAAATTTGGAACGATTTTCGTCCAAGTGGCCCTTTAAGGTTTGCACTCAGTTTCCCATGAGAGAGAAGACACTTGAATATGAATACAACTCAAACAAAGAGTTTTCAAGGGAATGACACGTGGTCTGAAATGGGACAACATTACGCTCAAGCGCTCCAGAGCCGAGGAGGTCTATTAGAGCCCGATTTTATTCACATAACACAGGGAGCCTGCCTTCACTGCTTAAGAACCCACCTGGCGATACATCGTCCAGTCTTGAGTATTTACTACTGTCCAGCTTTGGTCGACATTTTTCTATTGGAACCCAGTTGTAAGTTTCTGGACATACCAGGAACGAAGGGTAATAATTACCCTGCAAAACAAAAGTTATGAAAAAAGATAAAAGTTGTGTTACCCATGGGAGTGGAGTAGTTAAGGTGCAATGCACTGGCCAGCCAGGCATCAAACTCTTGCCATGAGCTATTCAATCTGTGAGTAAGGCCACCATTTTCTTCCCATTATGGAGGAAGACTAGATTAATTCTGCTTTTTCTTCGTACCTTATATCTCATTTTTGGACAGGAATGAATATAGAAACCCATGTAATAACTCTCAATACTTGGAACTTGTCGATACAGCTGTTGAGTGAAATAAATTTCCCTAAGAGTAGAATAAGTACCAAGAGACAGGAACCCATAGGATGGTTCATAGTACAAGTAGACGGATGAGACGCATCGTGGTAAAATATCCAGTACTGCTACAGCTATGAGAACACCTAGAAGAAAGACAGTAACAGTTACCATAGTGACCATTAGCTATTAATAGACCTCTTAACTTTTTGCATATAAATTTTTGATCATTTCAAAGATCTTGAGTACAGTATTCTAATAAGCCTGAAGCGAGATGACGTTTTACCCCCGACTCTATACCATAATAGTTTTTTAAATTCTTTCATATTAAAATTTTTGATTCCTTAGAGAGCACAGGAACAATAGTCATAATTAAAGAACAAAAGCAATGTGAAAAGGATTATGGTCTAGAGACTGGGGTAAAATGTCATCTCGCTTCAGGCTTATAGGTTGAGTTTCATTTACAGCTATTCCAAATAAAGGTTGAAGGTGAAGGTTTCATTGTACGTTGCACAGTGTTGTTGAACAATCTTGAAACGTATTATATCAGGAGCCTATTACCCATAGCGTACGACTAGTACCCCTATCTTGAGTTATCATTTTCTTGGACTAGTTATTTTAAGATTCGAATTGTTGCCAAATAACAAAGCATTCCTCATTAGTACTTCTTGTCCATTCCAGCATGGCGGCTATAGCTTTGAGCTTTATTCTATAATTTCTGAGGGATTGGAGGCTGTTCTAAATATAGATGTGAGTTGTACTCTCCAAGTAATGTGCTCATGATTTTACTCTCTGTCTTCACACCACAGGCAGTCCAATAGATTTATACTTGCCATCCAAGTAGTACTGCTGGTGAAAAGATCCATATCCCATGTGTGGAGCACCACTGCGTTTATCATGCTGCATTATAAGACAATATACTATGAATTATATCGAGTTCTACACGCTTTTTATTTCACATTTATTATTTTACATAATTGCTGAAGTGACTTAAATCCAATTAACTCCCATCCCCCTCCCCTCCCTCCCATCCCAACGTCATGTTTTTACTTCCATGTTTTGATACAACATGTAAAACTTTTTCTCAACTAAATCCATCATAACTTTTATTCTGTTTCATGGTGCTTACCATCAATGGAGAATCACAAAGAAACCTCTGGAACTGAAAAAAGGATGGTGTAAGAGACTAGTAGGGGAAAGAGAAAAATAAATGGCTAATTTTTAGAATAGCTCATGAAAAAAAACAGCTCAAAGAGGGACAAATCACATAAACCTATTTTAGAAATCGTTGTCGCACCAAAAGCCTCAAGCAACAAGCCAAGACCGCAGAGAATGCCGGTACTTTTAGCTGTAATTAGTTTATTCATGGTGCATTTTCATTTATGGACTTCACAAATTGCTCCAAGCAAGGCTGCTTGAGATGATAATTAGCGTAGAGCTATAGCCACTTGCATGAACCATGAATAAATCAATTATGATTAAAAATACCGACGTTCTCTGGAACCTTGGCCTGTTACTTGAGGCTCTTGGTGTGACAATGATTTTCAAAATAGGTCTATAGTTACCTGTCTTTCAGTGCACTTGTCTGGAGGGTCTTTATGAATGCTAACTTGATAGTTTTTGTACACATTGTAAGATTGTTTGAATGTGCTTTTGAACTCCTCAGATTCCATGTCTGCATGAACCAATTTGATCTGATAATTGTTGCAGAAACAAGAGTGTGAAAAACAATGTCTTTCAAAATAGAGCTTAGTATTACTTGCATAATTAATTTATCATTTGCCATGCCCTGACTTAGATCA